GGCCGAACTTGAAGGAGACTTTACCATGGACGAGCCAAAGGAGAAGAAGGATCGATCAAGCGATTGGATGAACAAGCAAATTGTCAATCAATGGGCGATTCCGCCTGCTGCAAATGCGGAAAAGAGTGAGAAGAGCAAGAAGCGGGATAGTGGAAAGTCGAAAGAAGAGAGGGAGGCCAAGAGGCAGAAGAAGGCAGGGGCTCAGGAGAACAAGATCGATACTGCGGCTCCTACAGGTGTTACACTTGAAGATATAGGGGGTGTTGAGAAGGTCATGACGCAACTCAAAGAGCATCTGGTACTCCCGCTTCTCTGCCCACAAGAATACGCCAGCCGCAAGATTCCGATACCACGCGGTATTCTCCTTCATGGACCCCCTGGATGTGGTAAGACAGTCATAAGTCGAGCCTTCGCTGCTGAAATCGGTGTACCTTTTATTGAAATTCTGGGCCCATCTGTTGTTTCAGGCATGTCTGGAGAATCCGAGAAGCAGGTACGGGAACACTTCGAGAAGGCCAAGGAGGTTGCACCATGTCTGATCTTCATCGACGAAATCGACGTCATTGCGCCTAAGCGCGACAGTGCACAAAGTCAAATGGAGAAGAGAATAGTTGCCCAGCTTCTCATATCCATGGACAGTCTGGCTATGGAAGGCAACAATGGCAAGCCTGTTATCGTACTCGCCGCTACCAACCGCCCTGATAGTCTTGATCCAGCCCTGCGTCGAGGAGGCCGATTCGATACCGAAATCAACATGGGTGTACCCAACGAGCTTATGCGACGGTCTATACTCCAAGCTCTAACGCGCGAACCAAAGCTCGCGGAGAACGTCGACTTTGGTGTACTAGCGAAACGGACAGCTGGATTCGTAGGTGCCGATTTGAAGGATCTGGTTAGCAAAGCAGGTACATGGTCTATGGATCAGTATCGACGAGCACTCGAGAAGCAAGCGGCCGACGCAGAGACTACAATGGACATTGACGACGGTCTTTCGCTAAACGCGGATAGTCGGGTGTACCAATCTATTCGGCGTCTGATTACCCGCGTCAAGGATACGGAAGCTCCACGGCCTGAGGGCTTCGAAGATACAGTAATCTCGATGGAAGCTTTTGAGGCCGTACTTCCTACTATCACCCCATCATCAAAGCGAGAAGGCTTTGCCACTGTGCCGGACACTACATGGCGAGATGTCGGAGCGCTGGCAGGTGTTCGCGAAGAGCTCGAGATGGCTATTTGCGAGCCCATCAAAGATCCGGCCAAGTTTGCCAAATTTGGTATCTCAGCCCCCACTGGAGTGCTACTGTGGGGACCGCCTGGTTGCGGTAAGACACTTCTGGCCAAGGCGGTGGCTGCGGAATCCAAAGCAAACTTCATCAGCGTCAAGGGGCCAGAGCTTCTGAACAAGGTACGTTACAAAATGGCCTTCAAAAGACATTCCGCATACTAACAAGTTCCAGTACGTTGGAGAGTCCGAAAGGGCCCTACGCCAGGTGTTCATGCGCGCCCGCTCTTCCGTACCGTGTGTCATCTTCTTTGATGAGCTGGACGCCCTCGTTCCGAAACGCTCCACCGAGCTCCACGAAGCTTCCGCCCGCGTTGTGAACACACTGCTCACAGAGCTCGACGGCCTGTCCATGCGCGAAGGCATATATCTCATCGCTGCTACCAACCGGCCCGAGATGATAGACGAGGCAATGCTCCGACCCGGGCGCTTGGAGACCCTACTTTACGTCGAATTGCCCAAGCCAGAAGAGCGTGTGGATATCCTGAAGGCGCTCATTCGGCAACGCGGCGTTCTCAGCGACAAGCTCGCCGGAATCGGTCGCCAAGACGTATGCAATAACTTCTCCGGTGCTGATTTGGAGAGTTTGTTGCGCAAAGCCGGACAACACGCGCTTCGAAGACGCAGCGAGGTGGTCGAGGAGTTTGATTTCGTCGAGGCGGCTAAGACCGTCAGGCCGAGTGTCGGCGATGTGACGCACTATGAGAAGCTAAGGGAGAAATTTGAGACAAAGCTTTGGTAGAGCCTGGACGTACTCACTGTATATTTGTTGACTTTCGAAATAATATCCGCCAATGTATCCATCCGCTACTTCATGACTTACACATCGTCCTCATAAGTCACCAACGTATCTCCCTAGCTATTGCCAACTACGCGTCCATCATCTGGAATCCCAATGCCCCGTTGTACCCTTCTCTCGCCTTGAACTTCTTCTTGAACCAGCTTTTCAACCCACGTCCACTCGCTTCGTCATGATGGTGCTCGTCTTCTTGGCTCTCCTTACTATCGCCACTGGGCCGCCAGTCCTTCCTCGGCGCTCCTGGAGTCAACGGCGCATCGCTCGCAACGACACTAACATCGCTTTCCTTACTCATCCGATCCCCTTTGCCACCCAGCATTCCCGTCGCACTACCAAACGTGAAGAAAGTCGGGGTTCCCATGAATGTCGGTGAAACTGGCGGCGACCAAATCGCCCTCGCGCTCCCTTCACCAGCGCTCAAGAAACTCGATACGGTGGGTGATCTCTCCGGAAAGCCTGACACTGTTGGCGACGTTGCCGCGCTCCATCCAGCGACTTCAGCCAAAGCGCAGTCGAAGCAGCCGCTGTTGTCGGTACTTTCTTTGTAGCGCAATTTATACTTTCGACAGGAGCGGCCGGTGGCGGGTTGACGTTCACGGGGTGTGAGGATGGCGCAGTAGTCCCAGCGGAGAAGGGTGGCGTGGGCGCAGTGGCGGTAACGAGTGTTGATTTCGATGCACATGTTGACCGGCGTGTTGTTGGCGCTATCCGGATTCAATTCTCGCACAATAGCAGAGCGATCTATTCTAGAATTCTCAATAGCTGAGACTAGGCTGTGACAAATTGCGTGATTGATATCGAGGAGAAGAGGTTATTACGATAGAGAGAAGTAGGAGATGACGCATCTTTAGATCGGCTCAATGAGAAGGTAGCACGCCAAAGGCTTGATTGATGTTTTCTCCACTTTAGCGTGATTGCGAGTTGCATTTGTGAAGAGAAGCGTGCTGCGCATGATTATCGTGAAAACGCTTCCATGCTCCTTCGACCTCATGTGCACGAACTGTCGTGTTTCGTTCGCATGTATAATGAGCTCCACAATCATGCGTCCGTGACTTCGCGTCTCACGCTGGCCGTGAACGTTATGTCAATTTCTTCCCTCAAACACAATGCTCGAGTGACCAGATCGCAAGTAGTTTACTCAAGTTATATAGTATCCACTCGCCCTACTCGCCTCAACATGTTTGACAATGACGCTTTCGATACCGCGGAGAAAAATTGACTCTCTATCTACTCTTTCCGGTAACTCTGAAAGATGTCGAAGACTGCGGATTTACCACCGAGCCAATGTTGTTTCGAGCCGTAAGTCCTGCTTCCACGGAGGAATATGGCTCTAGGATATGTCTTCTTCGAGTAACTTCGGGACATACCCGTTGAATACTGCGGTCGTAGGACCGAGCCAATACAATCCCATAGCGCGGTGAGAAGAAGCAAGGCCTGCGAAGATACGTAACAATGTATCTGTTTTGAGTAATGGAACGGGACATCTATCGAAAACTGCGGACACAAGGCCGAACCAATGCTTTGCTTTTGTCGCGATTTCATCACTACGCATCGCGGAAGTAAGCACCGCATTTCCTGATCAACATCCTGAAACGGTGAGAATATGAGACCGCCCCATTCTTTTCCAAACAACTTACTTGTTCTAGAACATGGCAGGCAACAGCGTCGTTCGTAGCGGACGGCAAAACCGACAAACGAGAGGCGACCTTCACTATCACTGCCTGGAAAGGAAGATCGCATCGAGATCTCGAGTCGACCAGGAAGTGCGAAGCGAAGGTGCGGGTACACCATGCTGGTGCCCGCCTAGTGCAGAGGCCACACGGCTCCGCGGAGTATCGACCTAAGTACCTAAACTGCTTGTGGACTGTCTTGAGTTCCAAACGGTGTAGGTCACACAGCGTATCAATCTACCCATCGAGCCTCAAAGTACCTGACAGTCGAGCCGCAAAGAATAGTTCGGCCAGGGTTACGTAAGGGCTGTACTGCAGATCAATGCAGCCAGTAGTGGAGCACCGTCGGCAAAACCTACCGAGCCTTGGAGTGACAGATTTCCAGATCACGATTGGACACAGTCTTGGATGTAATCATCATGTTCACTCTTGCATCACATCTGCGTTAGGTCTTCCCATTTGCAGAGTTCCGATCCAGGTGCTCGTGCGAAGTCCAGACAGCTAAGACATCGTATCTAAGCAGTAATGCTATCTAGCTGCATTTCCGTGATTTAGGACTCGCTTCAAACTTACATAGTCGCCGTCCATCCTCACGCTGCTTCCGAAAGTGGAAGCTTCGATGCGTCGCGTTGGAGGCAGGTGGCGCAGACGGCGGAAGGCGCCGAAGTAGTGGCTGCTAGTGATGCGCGACTCCTTTTCCTTGTAAGCATGTAGTAATGCGCATTCCTTGGGTGCGTGCACTGTACAGTATCTGCCTTGAAGATAGACAACAGAGAGGCGGTGGAGGAGGTTCACACCGAGCTAATCAGAACGTACGCAGAGCAGTGGATCAGTGTAAGTCTGACATAAGCATTGCAGCTCTTGCATGCTTTCGGTAATTGGCATGCATGGGTTCGTTAACGGAATTAGTCTGCGTGGGTCTTGTGCATGTATGCATATGGCAGCCGCGGAACAACAAGACCGTCGCGACCGACCTGTCGTTCGATTCTCGTATGATCTATCACAGCTCGCAGGGATTAGCGCTCATTGTGGTCCCGTTGTTGCAGTATGAAGAGGAGACTTCGTATATGAATTCATACTTGCATGTATCATACGCTAGTGGTAAGCTGCGGGAGGGGCCGGACCACATTGAGCTTGGAACGATGTAAAGGTTGCGTAAGTGCTATCCGTGCTATCCACAAGACTTAAGGACGTCTTCGTTACATGCCGCTTCCCCTCACTCCGACTCTTTCAACACTCATTTCGTTGTTCAATACCGATAGTCATATCCTCCCTCTCGTTCGAGCGTCCCCAAGCCCCTCGGCCCCTCAGCGTTCATGACACTCTCTGGATGGCCCATGATAATAGCTTGCCTAGCCCCAAAGGACCCACCATCGTTGTCATCGTCCACTGGCACGGTCAAGTCGCCCTCCCTTTCTCCTCCGCCTTCTCCCTCCCACTTCAAGAACTTCTCAAACGCGGCGGTGCCGCGTATGCTACCGGTCTTGTCGTATCGCTGAATCATGTTGCGCATATGGCCTATCTCGCGTGCGCAATCTTTGCAGACCACCATGTCCCTACTAACATGCGTGCGCTTAATAGGGTTTGCACATTTCACAGCTGCGAGCTGATGGTCTGGCAAGGTGCTGTAGTCCAGCGTCATGGTATAGTTGTAGGACCCCGAGCTTGAGTCTGAAGTTCGGGGCGTTGTCGTGCCTGACGGGCCCGAAACGGCGCGGCGCGAATTCGTCGACGCATTAGTGGAAGACCGCGAAAGCTGTCCGCTCAGCGAAAAGAAGCGTCGCGTGGATGAGCTGCGCTTTGGTGGTGATGCATAGTTTGCTGTGGGCGAGGAGATTGGTGGAGAGTTGGGCCCTCGGAGCGCGTTCAGATTCTGAATCGCCGTGTCGCACAGCGTCCATGGAAGCGTATGCGATTCGCCAATGTGGCCGCAACTACATACAAAGTTATCAGAGAGGCTACTTTCCAGATTGACTGCTCTCCCACAAAGGTACCGCGAACCACAAGGACTTACCCATTATGCTGCGAATAGTTGTGGTAGCACATGGCAAACTTCGCGACTGCAAAGAGGTATGACGTAGTAACCCAGTTTCGAGCTTAAGTGGTGCCGTGGATTGAGGTATGCAGGGGTCCGTAGGGTCGTTCAACAGGACGCAGCCAGACCCTGAGTTATAAACCGCGAAGCTTTTTTTGATGAGTGAATGGACTTGCACATGACAGTTGTATTATGCGTAGATAAATCTCCAACTGTCAGCTATGACTTATCGCATGCTGTCAATCCGCTCTCGTATCCTGCCATGGTGCCTTGTTTACTGAGTGGAGCGGTGAAGTGATTTGCACAAGGGTCGAGTTGGTCACGTGCCGTCGACGTGGCAGTCTATGGCAAGACGTGATGCTCTGTGTCTCAGATTATAGGCGCTGACCATCCCTGGATGCGCAAGTTTCTGGCATTGATACGCCAGGAGAAAAGCCCAGCTGTGTACCGCTCGGTCACTGTAAGTGGCTCTTCACCTAGAGTGCGAATAGCAAAGCGACTCGAGCGATGAATGTTACAGCGCTTCATCTAGTCTTATTTTCCTTTTCGCTCAGTATAGGAGTTCATACTAGACTTGGGGTGACCATCCGACAGCCCTTGCGCTTCGTATTCAATGTGGCAGGCCAGACTGCGATGATGTCATACTCTCGGAGATCTGCTCATGGTTCGCATCGCTGCGTGATGTAGGCGTCGAGAAATCTTGAATTGTTATCGCAGGATTCGGCCCTACGTGAAACCGTGGCATGAGATTTCACAGGGTGTCGTGAAAGAGTGGTGCAGCAGAGTCAATGTGCGAGCGATGATGCCGGCCTAGCGCAAGCGCGAAGCGCTGGCCGCTCTTGCTAATGGATGGACGTGTCTGTTCGCGTCTCCTGCGACCAACACATTCAACACCACAATACATCCCACCATCAAGCCACCTAGCATCATGGACATCATCGTAACGCAGAGTGTAGGAGCGTGTGGTTGGGTACGCTCGAAAGTCTATACTTGATCGTACTGACGCGTCGTCGCGGGGTAATCCCAAGGTTGCGGACGCACCTCCTGAGTACCTCCGGAATTTCACCAGTCCAACCCGCAATCCCGCTCCGGCCTCTCATGTACTACCCTCAAGAAGCGGAGGAAGACATGCTGTCCCAGAACAAGTCATGAGGTGTTGCGCGACATAGCAACATGTGCGCTTCACAAGAACACGTTCTCGACCTCGACACCACCTGGGCATCTCGAAAGAGCCAAACTTTACGATTTCCCAATGTCGTGATCGTTCCGTATCAGGCATGCGGAGCCACGGTACCTCGGATAGGCTGTGCTTCGGCTCCTCAAGTATCACGAGCCAGGAACGAGGCCATAACATTGCTGCAAGTATAGCAATGTATGCGTAACGTAGCCGGCTAACCCGCTTGCTGTTTGTTCTACGCTTTCGATCAGTCTCTTTCGGTATCCTCACTTCGCGTCAACTGTTGTTGTACTTCTAGCTTACACTAACGCCCCGTGGACTTTAGCGACAATGTGTTGTATAGTATAGTATCAAACCGAATGGCTACTGCAATACACTGACGGTCATTAGTTCTCCGCACTGCGCAATCGGCGAGCACGCGAACCACAGGCAGTCGGCAACGAAACCTCGCAAGCCACCGCGGGCTTATCGACTCCCAAGAAGCCGCCCTTTCGTCTCATCAAGTCAAATCCAGTCGCCAGCATCGAGCCTGTGCAACCAATAGACACTGCCATCCCTCTTCCGCCGAAATACCGATCGCGTGGTTTGAACACACCCAGGGTCCAGGATGTGACCGATCCTGCGATTCGGGCCTTGCTCTTTGGTCCTCTCGCTCAGATCGATCATCATCAGCATTATGGCACAGGATACGATGAGAGGCCAGATTTGATCCAACACGATTCTGCGTCCTCTGCGCATCACGAGTCTACGCGCTTCGGAAACAACGATTCAGTAGGCAGCGTACAACCGAGCTCTACAAGTTCCACAAAGGATGACAATGAGAGTGGAAAAACAGAGAGTGTCTCGCCTAGAAGTCACAGCTCTTCTGAGTGTGCGGGCACTGACGGCAGCGGCTTCAATGGGGGAGCTAGTGCTAGCTATAGTGACACAAGCGGCAGTGGTGGAGCTGGGCATACCTCAGATGCAGTGTACGATCAGGTGCTTTGAATCCACTCACGCGCGAGCCTCGTATCACCCTATCTTGTTGCCTTCTTATTGCCCTGTTGAAATCTTGTTGAGGTGCGGGGCGTTGCTTACGGTCTCTAGCCAATTGTATGGGAGGCTGTTGTGTAGCCTGAGGTTCACCGGTCTCATCAGGCATCCATCAACGAGTAGCCATATATCCGGCGACACTCTCGTCAGACTCTGCTCAAGACATAAGCTTGACGTGTTCTGCAACTTGGATCACTACTTCAGCATTGTCATCTGTTCCGACAGTATCCAGCACTGTGAACTTGCGATTCCTCGACCGTGATCTCCCCTGTCCACGCTCAGCCTTGCTGGAGCATCCAAACGTTCACTTCTTTGCACACTCGTCTACTGAGAAGATGTGCGGTTATCCTCCTATCCCACCGCAACACGATGTCAGCAGCCAACGATCGCGACGTACACCACGCGGGGCAAGGCCTGTGCCGAACCAACAGACGGTTAGACACCACCGCTAAATCTTGAATTCCCAGTGACCCACTAATCCACTTTAGATGATGTATCAAGGCGCTTGGGATCCAAGCTTGGGTCCGCCACCTGGGTTCGCTCCGCATGAGTACCTTCCAGGTGAACAGCTGCCCGCCGCAGACGACCTGACGGAGGCCGTCGATACGGGGACGCGCTGCGATTACCGAGATATATACCGCGTCCCGACCGATGAGGATCCCAACAGATACCATTGGGTGGATGAAAAACCGCCGGTATATGGTGCTACAGGCGACAGACTTCAGACAAAGAAAGCACGGGAAGCTTTCGCAGTAAACGTCTACCATCGTTTTGACGAGGTGAGGGATGAATGGAAGATCCACGAAGTACGCATCAACAGTACGCTCCTTCATGCTGCGCTGGAGAAGATTCTCGAAGGTTATCCAGGCTTGACACAGCATGAGATGAAGTCGTTCGCACCACCGTTTCTTCCATTCATTCATCGATGGGAAGCGATGCTTAGTTTCAAGGATAATGTCGAACCAGAGTCAGAAACCGAGCAACATCTTGAGCTATTGCAGGAAGTCCTCGAGCCCCTACTCCAAGATTCTTTCGAGAAGATCCGCGATGTAAAGATGACTGGGCATGTTGCGTTCCGAGACCTGAGCTTGGTTCTCATCCCTGACATGATGGTTATGGACCACGAGACTGACTCGGTCGGGATTGTGAGGTATTGTAATCTTGAATGCCTTCCTCCCCCAGCCCCAACAACATTCTGGAACATAGGCGTCGATGTGGTTGACTGGGACGGAAGGCGATGTGGTCTTCTTGCTCAGCCCAAGAACTTGTTCCAGTATCAGGGCTTGCGAGCTTTGACAGCCTTGGATGTGTCGCCTCTCGAGGGTCTTCCTGATCAAGAGAGTATCCGCGAAAGACTCATCAAACGAGGCCGCCGTTTCGAAGAACTGCGCGGCCATTTCTTCAAAGCCTTCACCGACCAACACGAAGAGCGTGTAAACGAACGGATGGTTATTGATGCACGAGCATACCACAAACACCAGCCCGCGATCCCGCTTCCAGCATACGCAAAACTGTCTGAGATAGGCCAGCTAACGTGGGCCCAATCCATGAACCGTTACTCCTCCAGTGTACCAAGCACCCCAGGATCGCGAATCGAACTCGACCTTTCACCAATGACTGATGACGAATGCCTTCTCGCTGTGCACTATGTTAAGTGTTTCGACATTGAGAAGAAGAAGTGGGAGAAGCTAGATGTGACTAAGATCCATGAAATACCTTGGGCTGAGCATGCTTTCGACAGCTTAGTCCTCGATCAGGACGAGAAGGATCTGGTCTTGGCTCTGGTAGACCGCGATCAGTTCAAGCAAGGGAAGCCCTTCGATGACTTCGTCGTCGGCAAAGGCCAAGGTATGATTATGCTGCTTTGCGGCCCTCCGTAAGTATCCCAGTGCGCACGGTCTGTGAGACATTTACTGACTTTAGACACCAACAAAAAGAGGCGTGGGTAAAACACTCACCGCAGAGACCGTTTCTGAGCACCTGCGTCGCCCCCTCTATAAGCTCGGGGCTGGTGATCTGGGAATGACGGCGCGTGCCGTTGAGGATAGTCTGGAGAAAGCGCTGAATCTGTGTGGACATTTCGGTGCTGTCCTGCTTCTCGACGAAGCTGATGTGTTCATGGAGGCGCGCACTGTGAACAATCTTCAACGCAACGAGCTTGTTTCAGTATTCCTTCGCCTACTCGAATACTACAAAGGTATCATGATTCTGACCACGAATCGGATGCGCAGTATCGACACTGCTTTCGAATCTCGGATCGATATCACGCTGAGCTACAGCTCGCTCGGAGAAAGTGATCGCCTTCAAGTCTGGCGCAACTTCCTGGCTACTATCGATGCGCAGGACGTGGATGTCGGAGAAGCTGACCTGGAGAAACTGGCAAAGCTCAACTTCAACGGGCGTCAGATCAAGAGCGCAATCAAGACTGCAAAGATCTTGGCGGCGAGGAAAATGGAACGATTGAGTGCAGAGCATCTCATGGTCGTGCTGAACTTGAGGCAGAAAGCACTCGGTATGATGGATAGTGGGGCAGATGATGATGAAGCTGGGAGGAGGGCAGACCGAGACGAAACTAGGAGCATGTGGTCGACAGCCACCGACACCGACAGTTCTCTTCCTATCTAGATTGGAGTCGGCCAAGTTTTTTGAATGCGATGTCGTCATTCCGAGTACACTGTTGTGTGAGCAGTCACGTCGGTCTCTCGAGGTAGGAGGTACCGACCGTTCATTCATTTGGAGTACATGCCTGCTGTCTCGTGCTCTTGGTCTTTAGGGTTGTTCTTCACCTCTGCAGACAGGTCTCGTAGGGTAGTCAGTCAATACTGAGATCACATTGATTTACAGTGCGCTACAGCGAACACGACAATGAGTAAACACACTTGCCATGCAAGGCTTTCTTTTGGCTAGATGATTACCTATCAATCTGAATTCGTTTTGAACTAGGGCCACCCAAGGTGGCTCGCGACGCAACTTCGAGTTCGAATATGACGATTGCGTAGTGGACATGGATGCCATCAAACATTAGTCTAGTCCTTGGGCGATAGCGATGACATAGCCACCTGTAGTGCACTGCGTGTGTAGGCGCGCTACTCTCGAAAGGCCTCCCGTAACTTGACATCCATCTCCAAACCTTAACGCGAAACAAAGCTTACATCGCTCGGTTTCCCATATCGCATCGGCAGTCTCATACAGGCTGAGACTTCGTATTGCAAGATTGGCGCGGTTGTATCGCGCATTTGCATCGGATGTCTCCAAGTCGACAACGCGCAAGCTGCAAGCGAGCCCACCCGGGCCGAGGTCCACTACCGCAGAAAACACGTGATATACACTCAACTGTGCCGCAACACGACAGCAAGATCCCGCAGATATCGGACAGGGCCGATAAACGCCCTCGTACAAGGCACGACATAATCGCCCTCAAGCCACTGAACACAGCCCGCTTCCAGCGAAGCACCGAACCGATGCAGCGAACCAATGGATTACCGGCTTCATCATGCCGATCCTTCAAGCCACACCGTGCACATAGACAGCGGTCCCGGGAAAACGCCAACACGGCTCACTCCCCGGATAAGGTCGGAGGATCTACTGGCGTCAGCCTCCGCCTCCGCTAATCTGCTTTTGCCTGAAAACTATCGCGTACACAGGATAAAAGCCGCCGAACCATTATAAATCGGAAACTCGCCAACGCGCCATGCGCTATATGTTGACGAATATCATGGACTGGTCTCGGCTGGGCCCTTGGTGTTGTTCAACACATCGGCAGATGCGGGCGGCCCGACCGCCGGTGTTATTACGGTTACCTCGACTTTCTTGGGGTACATATACGCAAGTACTCTTCTGTGAGGACGACAGACACAATTGCTGTTGTACTCTGTGATCATGCCTTCTCTTCTGAGTCTCGGTGCGACTGTCGCGCTTTCTGCGACTGGTCTTTTCGCACATCCACTCTCCAATGCGCAGCTCGTTTCGAGAGCAGAGGACCTTCTTCCAGAATACGACTATGTCATCGTAGGCGCCGGCGCATCGGGTCTTACCGTTGCCAATCGACTTTCCGAGGATAAGGGTAGGCTTACACAGTATCCCGGTTACGGAAAACACTAACGTCGTTCTGTTATAGATGTGACCGTACTCGTTATCGAGGCCGGCGATCTGTAAGTCTCATGAACACCACGCCCATCAAGTTGCTGATTTGTCTCCAGCGACCAGAACGAGGACTACGTCACCATCCCAGGTCTTGCAGGCGGTGCTGTAGGAACGAAGTATGACTGGAACACTTCGTATGCTCCGGACCAAGCACTAGATGGCCGCGTTGTCTCTATTCCACAAGGCAAGGTCGTGGGCGGGTCGACAAAGCTGAATCGCATGGTGTTCGATCGTGGCTCACGATCTGATTACGATGGGTGGGAGACTCTGGGAAACGAAGGTTGGAACTTCGAGACCTTCCTGAAGTACTTCAAAAAGGTTTGTTCTTTTCGACAGTTTTTTCGATATTTTCTAACCAATGTCAAGAACGAGAAATTCACACCACCAACTGCTGAGATCCAAGCCGAATACGACATTCAGGTCAACCCTGAATACCATGGCGACGAAGGATACATGGAAGTAACCTACTCTCCTTTCTTCTGGCCAACGACTAGTGAGTTTGACGCATCATTTCATGCGGCAAGATACTGATGACTATTTCAGAAAACCTCGTACAAGCTACCAAGGAGCTGGGAATCTCCATCAATGACCAGGCGACTGGGAATGCCTTCGGCGGTTACTTCTGCCCACACAACATGGTCCCGATGAACTGGACACGCTCCTCCGCAGAAGAAGCTTACTATGCATCTGCCGAACCGCGCCCAAATTATCATCTTCTCACTGGCCGTCTTGTGACGCGTGTCCTTACAGAAAGCTGCAATGAGACGAACACGGTCAAGGCTACTGGTGTTGAGTTCTCGACTTCTGCAGATGCCGAGAGTCAACAGACTAAGGCCAAGCGAGAAGTCATCCTCGCTGCTGGCTCGTTGCATACACCCCAATTGTTGCAGGTTTCTGGAATTGGCGGAGCCTCTCTGCTCGAATCCATCAATGTGACCACCGTCGTTGATCTTCCGGCTGTCGGATACAACCTGCATGACCATCTTTCCGTCGCCGTGGTGAACGTCCGTAAGTAGGCCGTTATATTGTCTAGCTGAGGAGATACTGACATTGGCGCAGTCAACACTAGCGTTCTAACGAATACTCTGGCATCAAACACTACTTTCGCCGCTCAAGCTCGCGAGCAGTACGACAATGAGAAGTCTGGCCCACTAACCTCCCCGACCGGTGACTTCCTCCTCTTCCTGCCACTCCAAACCTATTCCAACGCCACGCAATCTATCTTGGCTCAAGCAGTCGCAGGTGGATCATCTGCCTCTCTCCCGGCTGATACCCCCGCTGAAGTCGCACGAGGCTATGAGGCACAGTTTGCTTCTCTTAACAAGAAGCTCCAATCCAATGATTCCGCAATGATGGAGATCATCTGGGCCGACGGCGTCGTGGTGCTCGGACTTCAGCATCCGTACTCGCGTGGAAGCGTACAGGCGAACTCATCCAGCATGTTCGATCGTCCAGTCGCAGATGTAGGGTTCCTCCGCAACGAAGTCGACACTGCACTCCTGCGGGAAGGTGTACACTGGGCTCGCAAATTCGTTGCCACGCCATCTATTGCATCGCTCAATCCGTTCGAGGCCGTTCCAGGCAACAATGTCACCGCCTCTGCGGACATCGATGCTTTCATTCGCAGCACCGCATCGACGCTGTACCACCCCGCGGGCAGCTGCAAGATGGGTGCTAGAGAGGATGGTGGTGTTGTAGATCAAGAGCTGAAGGTCTACGGCGTGAACGGCCTGCGGGTCGTGGATGCCAGTGTCATGCCCATTCTTCCGGCTTCTCACATCATGACCACTGTGTATGCGACGGCGGAGAAGGCAGCAGATATCATCAAGGAAGCTGCGAAGGGAAAGAACTGAGGCATAGAAGAAAGATGTGTTGAAGAGATAGTGTCAAAGCAATGTCAATTTTGACGATATCCGAATACCGTCTTTTGTTTGAGAGTGAGCTACTTTGGTGAGGATGACGATGCCATGAACATGAGCTTCCACAATGTCTTCTCAAAGGCCCGAGAGAACGTTCCACATGTGGGGTCCACGCGCGCATTGCACCAAAAACGTGCATAAGCCTTTAGGCGACAGTCTGAGCTGAATATCTTTTTTGAGGTGGATGGATCCCGCCTGGGCAATCATCCCCCGTCAGTGACTGAGGCTAGCTCCTAAAACGGTAAGCCACTAACCTCTTCGGTGGGACGGGCAGATTATCTCCCCGAGGAGACCACCAGTCTCTCCGCACTCAGCGTCAGGCCTGCATCTCGAAACCACGAACTCTCCGCATCCCACCTTCACAGTGAGGATGAGAGCGCATCAGCCCATACTCCGCCTCGATGGGCGTCGCAAGTTTTGTTGCACTGCCAGGCTCGATGGGCATAAGAGTGCGCGCAAGAGCAGTCATCAGGGCCCATCATTCCAGCTTCCATCAACATTGCGCTTCGAACACCATCGATTGCATCCCAGATAGGACGATACACAAACCGGCTGACCACATCTCAACCCAAAACAAAAGATGTCTACACCCGTTCGCAAAGTCCTGATCTCAGAGTTCGGCGGCCCTGAGAACGTGTCGGTTGTCACAGCCCCCATCCCCGCGCCTTCCCCCAACGAAGTCCAAATCAAAGTACTCTACGCCAGCATGGGCGGTGCAGATATATCCATGCGACAAGGTGCCTACCCGATGCAAAGGAAAGCACCATTGACGCCGGGCTATGCGCTTATCGGCCGTGTGCACCAAAATGGATCGGCTTGCACGAAATACCGGCTTGGAGACCTCGTCGCTTGCCTCACAAAATACGACGCGGAAGCCGAGCTCTGCAACCAACCCGAGAAACATCTCGTTAGCGTGCCAGAAGGACTCGATCTGCAGCAGGCAGTTGCCTTGGTCTTAGATTGGAACACGGCCTACGGGCTAGCCTACCGCGCCGCTAAGATCTCCGCTGGCCAGCGCGTCTTCATCCACGGTATCAGCGGCAGTGTCGGTTTTGCCGTCCTCACCCTTTGCAAGATGCAAGGTGCGGAAGTCTATGGGACAGCATCGGCCGTCAATCACGCAGCTATCCGCGAAGCGGGTGCAATGCCCTTCGTCTACTCCGACAAGAACTGGATGCAGGCTATGAAGGACGTGGGCGGCGCAGACATCATATACGATGCTCTTGGCTTCGAGTCTTGGGACGAAAGCTGGAACATCCTGGCGAAGGGAGGCCTTCTTGTGGGTTATGGTGGTAACTTCGACCTGCTCACCGGTGCAAAACCTCGTAGTCAGCCACCTCAGGTTATAAAGCTACTCGCACGAGGCATGGTTCCCTTTTGCCCTTACCGGACGAGTTTTTACTACATTGATCGCGATCAAAAGACGTTCAAGCCGGAGTTAGTGGCCCTTTTCAAAATGTTGGAGAGCGGAGCTATTCGGGTGCCCATCAGGAAGATGTGGGCGTTGGAAGAGGTTCCGGAAGCGCATCGTGTTTGGGGCAAAGGTCCGGGTATTGGGGCTGTGATCGTGAAGGTTACTGAGGATGACAGAGTAGGTCGTCAGTCTTGACTGAGCTGATGAGGAACGTCATTAGTCTGATTCTAGATACCCAACCGCTGTCCTTCTCGATATATGCGCGTTCATCATTGATGGCCTCAGTCCTTTACATTAATCTCATATCTGCTTGTTCCATTCTCTACCCTCTCGTGCACTTCCGCACCTATCGGATAAACCTTGACACTGACGTGGAAAGTATGTGTCGGCCTTCAACCTATACGTTGTTAGCTCGTTCTACATGCGTAAAGAATATGTATCCAGCAACTTACAACACCAGTTATAGATTTCATTAGCCAGGCTACTCGACGATCTCTCTGCCAGTGCCATGTCTAACGTAATTTTGTGCGTGTGGGCAACCTCCAAAACTACGCTATGAGTAGCCGTGGGCTCCTTTGCGATCAGCTTCGCAAAAACTGGCTTGAGAGCCTGCAGAGTGCGACGTAGAGCCAGGCCTTGGGCGTTGTGCGCCTTTGCAGTGTTGAGCGAACTATTGTCGGTCCATAGACGAATGGTGAGATGGAAACCAGTAGCCAGCCGCTGCTGCGCGTGGAGGAGCGGTGCAAATTGGGTGGGAAGCAGCTTGACATTGATGAAGTGCTTGTTATGGGGAAGCAAGCAGCCGTCGACTGTGAGACCGCGGAGGACAGAGTTGGCGAGTTTGACGTGATATCCGAGTTTGAAGAAATCTCGTTGGAGAAGAGTCGCGATGCGTAGCGGATGCTTGACTTCAAAACCAGTATACTTGCCATAGAACGCCTTGACTATCTCGGTCGCGAAAGAGCTATCCAAGATCCGCGGGTTGAGGAACCGAGGGGTTGATTTGTACATGAACGTGCTGTGATTGAGCGGATAGGCGTAAGCGGTAGGACTCGCGCAGCTAGCCATGTCGTGCATCATATCTTCAGTGAGAAGCTCGTCATAGATGATCAAGCGCAGCTCTGGAGGAAGGCAGGAATAGATGGTCTTGAAGAAGTCATCGAGACTGTATCATGTTAGTGAGTTGAGATCAAATCCAAAGGACTGCTCACTCAGCGTCCGCAATACCGTCGCTCACAATCGCGCTGCGTGGTGCAGACATGAGTTGATCTTCTGCCATATTTGACTTTGCCTGGTGTGATGGAGAAAGCCTGGTATCGGGTGTTCAACTCAGTGTAATGTTTACAGTTTGTACTAGTGTGGCGGGGTTTAGGACCGGCCAGAGTGAATACTTCAAGCTCGGATCAAATGGCTGACAACGTGAAAGCGATAAACTGGCCAGAGAAAGTAATATCTTCATATGTCTTCATGTGTTCCACACCTTACTCCCACTGTTTATGTCCCCGCAATCTTGCGCGGAACATGCTCGTCGTAATACAATGTTTCTCCGCTCTTCCCGCCCTCGAACAATCCCAACGCCAATTTAGCGACAGCCTCTCCACAGAGCTCAGGGGGTTCCACCATCTCATCACCCATCTCATCCCAAATCCTGAACCTCTCGATCTCGTGGTCCGCCATAATGCCCCGATACTTCCCTTCGACTAGTCCATCGATCATCTTGGTTCGTGTTAACTTCGGGTATACGCCCTGTACACTAAGCAGTGGCTCTTCGTGTGCGAGACAAGAGATAAACCGGGTTAACGCGGCTTTGGTAGTGCTATAAGGCATCCATCCATGGTAGGATACTGTGTCATCGCAGGCCGAAGAGAGAATTATGACTTTGCCGCGGCCAGCGTTATGAGGATGCGCTATCCGCGAAGCACGGAGCTTTGGGAGCGTAAGCTGAACCTGAGGACCATTAGCGTATGAAGGGCGTTACATTATATCATGCAGTATTAGGAATGAGCAGTGTAGTATGTCAAGGTGGTACATACCATACTCATCGCGCCAAAAACATTAATGTCAAAACTTCTCTTCACCGCTTGAATGTCGACCGTTTCCAATTTTTGGATCGGTGTAATAACACCTGCACAGTACACCAAAGTATCGAGCCCTCCAAAGTGATCGAAACACGTCTGGACCGCTAGCTCGCGATCTTCTTCCACTGTAACATCGCCCTCGACTATTCTGAGACGTTCTCTCTGCTGCTTCGTGAACTCAAGCTTGATGGTCGAATCTATAAGCCCAAACGCAATTACTTTCGCGTTCAATGGTAGGTAAGGTGACGAAAGTATGGAAAGCGTGGTGGCGTATCCGATTCCGGACGTTCCGCCGACGACGAGGATGACTTGGGGTTTCGAAGTCATGATGTTCGAAGAAAACTTGGGTCAAAGTGCACGTATGACGAAGTATGAATTAGGATCAGATGATGTTGAAGGATTGAAGCTTGTGCATTTTGAGACGGCGCGAGTGGAGACATGCCCCGCGCTAAATCCGAAACTGGCAAAACTCGGAGGAAGCTTGAGGGAGGTGCGTTGAACGGCCGCGGCCCCTTTCTTCAATCTACGGCAGCTACATATCACTATAGTCGCGCCTTCGCGCCTTCGCCATCTTCTATCATGCCTTCTTCGGCAGCCTTGATCTGCAACGCCAGTACCCTACTGTAGAATCGCGACAGAGCCAAATTGCCACCCATGAACCACAGACCAGGATGACCGCTCTTCTGCCACATCGTCCTGAACTCGCCCTCGTCGTTGAAACCCCATACATCGCTGACGCGGTCCGCGACTTCATCGCCGAAGATCTTTCGTGCCTGCGTGCGCATGTTCTGGTACCCAGTCGCAAATACGATCTCATCAGCTTCCAGCTTATCACCATCCGCGAACTCGATACCGTTTGGCAAGATTTGCGCAATCTCCTGGCCTTGCTTAACCTTGATTTTGCCATCGATGATGAGCTGAGACGCGCCGACATCGATATAGTAGCCGCCGCCGCGCTGGAAGTACTTGATAAGAAGGCCTGAATCCATCGGTCCACTGTCAAGACCGAAGCCAGCCGCGCGAAGACCATCGTGCATTTTCTTGTCGTGGTCGGCCTGGATCTTGGTGACTTTGATCTGCTGTGCTTTCAGAAGCTCACTTGGCAGACTCCAGAAAGTCAGGTCGGCGTCGTCGACAGGCGGTGCGTCTTGATCGTACAAACCCTTGTTGCCGATGTCGGTGATAGCCTCGGAAGAGACAACGCATGTTGTACTGCGCTGTACGATAGTGATATCGTATCCTTTTTCAAAGAAGTCTTGCGCAATATCATGACCGGAATTGCAGCATCCCACCACCACAGCCTTCTTGCCCTTCGACTCGGGATTTGCGCCTGGGTGCTCGGAGCTGTGGCACAGGCGGTCGCCTTTGAAGTCTTGCATACCTTTGATCTGGGGAAAGTTCTTCTCGCCGGAGTGGCCTGTCGCCTGGACAATGTGATTCGG